AGAATTCCCTGTGGGGACCAAGACAAGGGCTGTGTCAAGGGAACTGATAGTGCTAGCAGAGCAATTCTGGGAAGGATGAATGTCTTTACACACGGACAGGAAGTTACGTGGTTGGCACAAGTTGGGTTCACACAACGTGCCTTCTGTTTCTTAACTTATCTGAAATCTTGCAAGCCTATAACACTGTCTAACATTTTCACCTACATGTCAGCATGGCCTGGACTAATCCAGCCCTTATCCTCCATGCCCACCAGCACCACTCACTGCCAGCGTTTCGCCTTATCGTCTGGCTAAACTGTTTTGTTCAGACTCCAGGATCCTCAGGTCTCTTGCGCTGTTCTTCTTCTGGGGAAGACTGAGCACACAGCTTCCACCTCCAGATCTCCCCTGGTCTCTTCTCAGACACACACACACGAGCGCGCACACCCCGACTCATCACACTCTCTCACACTTTGGTTTTTCTGTAGGTCTGTCCACCAGTCAATGGTGTATTCACTCTGACTCGCTGTGCAGCTGTGTTTCACCCGAGCTCTAACTCTTCCTCACTCTGCCTCTCTTTACGAAGCACAAAGTTCTCCGTCCAACTTCCATGATCTTCATCTACCTCACACTTTTCTCAAATGTTCTTCCCCCAGCTGCTGTCTGTGGAAGATGAAAGTGTCATGCTGTGACATTACAGGACACACGTTCCTTTCTCTCTGCGTAGGCAATTGTTCTACAGCTTTGAGAGACGTCTTAGTGGCTGTCTAGACCTCTAGCCATTACCTGATCGTCTCTGTTGCCTTTGCATCTGTATCTGGGGTATTCTGTCAGAGATGAATGATCTGCACTGGAAATCCAACCTGTTATTTGTGTTGCATGCAGGCCTTAAGTTCTGAGGAGGAGGAAAAGAGCAGCAGGTCCTGGGGGAATCCGCTCATGCAATTGAAACATCTCAATTTTGTCTCCGTTGGATGTGCACATCTTTCTCTTACCCTCATTAATTGATGAATATGTCCAATACTCTAATGTCACATCAATATGCAAGGGAGATATGCAGAGGCTCTAGCAGTGCTTTTCCAGTATCTCAGATATAAAGTTTCTTCCAGGCCGACAGTGATGAGAAATGAGCTGTGCAGGTCAAAGTGGACAGGAGTGACCTTCCACTGCCAGACTGAAAGCACAGCCAGTGCAGATTAAATCAAAAATTCTATTTTATGGAACTCAAGCCATGCTGTTCGCACAGGACACATAAATGTCTATCTGCTTGATGTGTGTCTTTCTCCCTGTGGTTAATAAACTTTGCAATCATTCTTTCAGTGTGGAATGAGTACCTTTGTATCGAACTCTCGCTGACACTGCTCTCCCCTGGAGCATCTCTAAACTAATGGATAATCTCCTGATCTGTTTAGGTCATGCTCTTAATTCTGCCCAAATTAAGATTATTTTATGATAAGACTGATCATATTAATATTGAAGGTTAATATTTTGGTAATGCTGTGATACATCTGCAGACACTGAGCGGGACGTGTTTTCTTTCTTTCTTGAACCCACTTCAGTGAGTCAGAAGGCTTGCCAGATGCTGCTGTATGCTCATACTGTTGACTGCTCATCGATAAATTTGCACCTCTGCCGTGGCTCAGTGTAAGCACTGTTTGAATAGCGGACATCTGGACACAGCTGTGCAGAGCAGGATTGCTTGTGAAGACCGAGGGAGACAGACTTAGTGTAACGAAAGTGTTCTTTCAGGACACTATGCAGACGACACAATCCGGGGAGGAGTGAGGAAAACACGGGGGAAATAAGCATGCAGGAGTCGGGAATGAAAACAGGGGGCGTGTCCAAGGTGCGCAGGTGTTTAGGGGGGTTAGTCTAAGGCAAACAATCCAAAAGGGAGTCCAAAGGGAAATCCAAGATGAGGCGAATGTCCAGAGCCGGGCGGTCCATCCGAGACGATGACAAACGGGATTAAAAACCAGAGCGGGATCCGGTGGAGGAAATTAGCGGACACATCCTGAAAGCCAAAAGATACAGAATGGAAATAAAGCTCTTTGCAGTTAAATGCTTACTTAATTTGTTTCAAATGGGTGAGACGATTTCCCTAGAGTTAAGAGTTTTAAATAAAAATGTAATATTCAATAGCTGTGCTACACACTGAGGTTCCAAAATCCAGTGTCTGTCTCTCATTTTAAATTCATAGATAAATTCAGTTTATGTGATCAGCATAAAGTCATGGACATTAATGCATTAATCTGGAACTGATGTCATCCGACTCTATCTGCCAATCTGTTAGCTACAGTATAACGAGTACTCTGGCTAATATTACTCTTGCTCTGACAGAAAACTTTAACATCACAAACGTAAAAAGACTGCAGGTAAGAGGGGTTCATTTGACTCACCTTTTTCATTTGTTTAATTTAGTTTAGCTAAGCGAATCTAAACTTTCGTTCAGCCGTTTTTAAGTTCAATTTGTCAATTGGCTTTTCAAGGAAAAGAAAGAATATTACTGTACATGGTACAGTACCATATACAGTACCATAATGACAAATGTGAACAAGCATCATGGCATGAAAGACTTGGTACCCAAACAAACTGTGTAAATCCAAGAATAATATCAAAACTGGAATAAATGAGTCGAAAAAGGAAACCAGATATGTGGAAGAGATATGGAAAGGAAACAGAGAAAGAGAAATTAAAAAGGTAGAGAAAGGACAGTCTTCTGGGTCTGTCATGTGTCTGGGTGGAGCTGCAAGCTGTTTGTAAGGAATTACCCAGCGTCTGGGCCACAGTCACCTGTCTAGGGTGCCTGTTCTGGATATTCTCACTTTTATACTCTAGCTTTTACTTCTGTTTTAATTTGTGCATGCCATACACAGTCAGCATATCTGTCTCTTTGGTTTGATGGTTTTGTTGTACAGCACCTTGAGGTGGGATACCATGAAAAGCCCTACATAAAATGAAAGTTGTTATTCTTATTATTAAAGCCAAAAAACATTTTTGTGAATGGTAAGACAAAGACATTGTATAAGAACCTGTTGCTGAGATTTCAACACAAATCAATGGCTTTCAAAACATTTATTTTCTATCACAGGGTTTGATCCTTAATAAGTGCCTTCCCCAGAGACCATGCTACACAATTAATTCCACCCCCAAGTTCATTTTGCACTCTTCATTCTCTGTGCCTTATTAAAATGAATCACACACCTGAGAAAACAATACGCTCCATTCGCTGCTGCCTCTGAATTAAAGTCCTTCACACACCAGCATGTCATACAGCTATCATCTGAGATTCGTTTCCCCACAAGAAACAGGTGATTTCATCAATTTAACAGCAAGCTCAGACACAGTAACCTGTTTTCTGTTCTCTTCAAAAATATAAAGAGATGCCATTATGTTTTTGTAACACATTGGGTGGTCTGTGGTTTTCAAAAAGTTCCACAAACTGCTTTAAAAAATCTTGTTTTGTATTGAAGTCGTTTGGGAAGGTTCGTCCTGCTGGTCTATTGTGGTGAGATTGCCATCTAATTTACTGTATATATACTGTACCATGGAGTTTGTCATTTGGAAAACTAGCAGACAGGTAAAGGTTTATTCCCTGCTGAAAGGAAAAGAAATGAAACACGGTGTTTCGGCTGTGGAGCCTTCTTCAGGTGCAAGAGGCTCCACATCTGAAGAAGGCTCTACGGACGAAATGCTGGGTCACTTTTCTTTAGCTTTCAGCAGAGAATACTCCTTTACCCTTTCCTTTGCAGCCTGCGCATGCTGTACCCACAGAAAGAGAAACTTCTATTGCATCTTCAGGGTACAAGCCCCTTTCTTTTGATTGCTCACTTCCCAGCAATACATGTAGTTTGCCGTATTTTAAAGCCTTTTTCACTGTAACTACAGATGCCGATTATGTACCGTACGACTGCGATAATCATTCTAATAAATCTCTGGGGGCTGAAGTGGAGCCGCAGGTTAGCTTGTTAGCCCCTCTATTAATTCTGCCTCATCCTGCGGGTGAGCTGAGACAGTCTCCCAGAGGACACTGCTCTGCTCCGCAGGGCGGTGTGGTGGCTCTGTGGCTCAGGATCTGTGCCTGTGGCTGGGAGGTTGCCGGTTCGTATCCCGCGGCCGGTAGAGGAATCCTACTCCGCTGGGCCCCTGAGCAAGGCCCTGAACCCCAACTGCTCCAGGGGCGCTGTATAAATGGCTGACCCTGCGCTCTGACCCCAAGGGGGCCAGAATTCTCCTCTTGAGAGCCAGGGGACCAGGTGTGGGTACCGCTCCTGCGGACACTGTGATGTTGAGCTTGTGGGCCCAGAGGATCACACCACCCCCTGGCTTTGTGGGAAAGGTGCTGTGGGAGCAGATGGAAGGGGGCACTTGAGAGGGACACCACCAAGCAGTTTCTGCTTTATGGAAATGCATGCGCTCGTCCTAATGAAGACGGAGGAGGAGGACAATGTCGCATGTCAGCCGCCAGATAATTTTTGATGTGTCATTTTGCAACAGCCGAGCTTGAATCTGCGCCTAATGGAGAAATCATTTACAGAGCTCGTCTCGCTGTGCGCTCTTGAGGACAAGGAGTCAGGGGATATCTCAGATTCCACAGCTGGTTTTACAAACAGAGTGCAGAGTAGGAACTATCACTGATAATTCCCTTAATCGCCAGCTCTTAGGTCCTTTTTACTGTTGTTCAGAAAACTGTATTGTTTTGCACCAAGGTTTTGCAGGTGATGACAGGATTAGCAAATTTTACAGGTGCACAGATGAAGTAAGAAGTGTGTTAGGAGTTTGGGTTTTCAGTGCCAGTGTCACCTTTGCAGCAGGAGTGATGCCTTGCATTTCAGCTTTGAGGGAGACGTGTACAGAGACATGTTGTAGGAATGTGTTCAATTCAAATAATATGTGACTTGTAGTTTTTAATCTTCCAGAATGTAGCCAATGCTATGAAGCTGGTCTGATGTTCAGTGACATTAATGCACCGAACAGCTAAATGTGTAAATTTTTAAACTTGTTTTTATTTTCAATTTCAGACAATACACCCCACATAGCCATCGCTGAGCCTGAGCTCCGTAACCATGGAAACAGCTCCACAGGTCCAACTCCAGACTGCTCCCCTCCCTCTCCAGACACTGCACTGAAAAACATAGAGAAAGTCATTCGCCCACAGGTGAGTCTGAATGCACAGACAACTCTCTGTCCAGGTAACTGTCCACAGGTGAGTCTCAATGCACAGACAGCTCTCTCTGTCCAGGTAACTGTCCACAGGTGAGTCTGAATGCACAGACAGCTCTCTCTGTCCAGGTAACTGTCCACAGGTGAGTCTCAATGCACAGACAGCTCTCTCTGTCCAGGTAACTGTCCACAGGTGAGTCTGCACACAGACAGCTCTCTCTGTCCAGGACTGTCAGAGCTCTGGGCTTCTTATATCCTGAAGTCAGAAAGGAAGTTTCAAGTGTGTAAATTTGGAAAACAGAATATGCATGTATTTTTCCCCTTCGAAGATACGGTAGTTTGGTGGAAATCAACTAGAATTGATATATTTTGTAGAATAAGCCAAGGTACAGCTGCTTTAATCAATAAATGTTTAGTGACTTGGTCTCCAAAAATGGAGCACTTAAAAGCTGGTCTTCATTGCTGACCTGAGATGTAAGCTTGTTCAACGTTGTTTGTGCAATTTATTGACATAGTTTTAATCATTAGAAGCAGTTTCTTAATATTAAGTCATTAATGTCATCCAAGGACATACTGTAGCAGAAGCTGGATGCTCCTGCATTTTTACTTCTTTAATTAATAGAAATATTCACAAATGAAAGTGTCAAAAATGATTGTGTCACTGTGGTACAATTAAGAAAAAACTGAATGTCTGAGTGGATTTCACGGCTCAGCAAACACAGATATTAAACTTCAACAATGTCATTAGCTGGTAATTTTCTGTTTCACGGAGGTGCTTTAAAGAAGCAAATGGGCCGCAATCCTGAAAGTTTAATTTGCTGTCCTTTAAGAGCACATTGTTGATAATTTTTTGGACCATGCAAGTGTAACTGTGTTCAGTTTGCACCACTGCAGATAGCCATAGAGCAGGATGTTCCCACTTCAGCTCGGCTCGCTGTTGTTTTCTCAAATAGGTGAAATAACTCAATTTAAATGCCAATTTAATTCCACAGCCCACACCTGAGCCGGGGAGTCTCTTGTGATAACAGAGCCCCCACTGGCCCCTGTATCTTTGAACCCAATCAACATGCAGTTCTGAAACACTGCGTCTTGCGAAGGTACTGCTCACCCTGGGTCTCTGGTGTCATCAGGCGCCAGCGTATACAGGCTCTCTGTGTTATTGTGAGCAAAATCTGATGTTTCCATTCTTTGCTTTCAAGGGCATAACACCTAGAGAGATGAACCTCTGGGACCACGGGGCCGGTAAACTAGTTAAAGGTTAAATAACATTCTGGCATAGAAGCAACTTTTAAAGAAAAACTATTTTTATCTATCCTCACTGGTGGTGGTGGAGGGGATCCCCATTACCTGTAAAGCACTTTGAGTGGAGTGTCCAGAAAAGCGCTATATACTGTACTGGAAGTGTAAGCAATTATTATTGTTATTTTGGAAGACACGTGCACTGTCAATCCAGTTCTTCTGCAGTCATAATGACTGTCTGACACTGAGCTTTGTGGTGGGATCAGACCTCCACATTTCACGCCAGCAGCAGCAACTTTGCAAGGCTCCATTCATAAAGAGCTGCACAATCCCGGGGGCAGGAACACAGGCCAATAAATGCTTCAGAGCATGCCCTCCTGTAAAGGTGGGTCGTGCATCTTATTGTAGACACAGCCTCTCAAAATGAGACTCCTGTCATCCTTATTAGAGCGTTCCAGGAACGCCGTACGGTATGTGGGGGATTTGTGGAATTATCGTGTGCATTGTATAGGAAATTGTGTAAAGGAATGTGGTGATTCAGTGAATACATCCTGAAGGCACGCAGGAGTTGTCCTTGCAATATCTCTCAATCAAACATGGTTGGAATTCATGCCTTTACAACGTAGAATATGTTTTTTTTTTAAGTGAACAGAATGTCTCGCTCCTGGAATTCAATGTAAGTGATTAGTGTGCCTTTCATTCTTTTCTTACGCTGTCTTCTCTGGGCGCGTGCTGAGCCTTGCGGTGCAGGTCTATTCTGAGAGCAGGCAGATGCAGTTCTTGCAGTTCTTGACAGAAACATCGGGCGCTGGAGAGAGCAGTTCACTCTCTTCCTAGCCCCCTGCACCTGAGCGTGGGGGTGTCGTCTTCATGACCAGGCAGCGTCAGCATTCTTTTCAATCCTCTTTCAGAATGGGTTTCAGGGTGTGAACTGGTTTATCCTGATGTTATTAAAGACAGGTGAGGTCAAAGCTGACAGCCTGCCTAAGCAGTTTTCCCAGGTAATAATGGAATATAATAAGCAACTCACAAATCTAATCTCACAATTCTTTTAAATTCCTTCATAATCTCCCTCAACAAGTTATTCTAAGCCTAACAAAGCATTTAAAATTCAGTCACCTACCTCTAAGAGCTCCCTGGGCTCGTGTTAGCAGCTCTGGGCTTAGTTATGCTGTTGTTTTTATTTTTTTCTTCAGATTAAATGTCTGAGGGAGATTACAGTATATTGCTTTCCTTCCTCTGCTACCTTTCTTTAATTGGAAGTACAGTAAGAAAACCTCTTCTTCCTCCGTTTAAAGCATCCCTGTATTCCAGGGTATAACAGCTGTGGTGATGTTTATGATTTATTGGAGTTGGCCAGCAGTCAATGATGCTGTTATCTGTTTTAGTGATTTTAATTACACCAGCTTTTCTTATTGTCTGGTTGGTATGACTTTAATTGCTGTTTTTCCAGAGGGGCTGTTTAACCTAGTGCAGTACTTGCCAGTAACGCTGCTGGCCTGTTTCATTACACAGGTTATACTGTGCTGGTACAGTGGAAATCTACAAAGCATACCTAAACATAGAACATCCAGTTCTGTCAGGATGGTTTCTCAATGGAAATAAGCAAATTGCAAATCTGGGTCTGTGTGTAGGTTGTACAGGGGATAATGTTAATAATAATAATAATATGTTTTATATAATATAATGAGAACTTTTATTTAAAAAGTGTCTTTCTAAATCCCAGGAAGCTATACATACAGTAGTGATAGAAATAAAAGACAAAAAGTACAGGTTCATACAAATAGAATGTAGGGCAATCAGACATACTGTAGGCCCAGTAAAAGGCTGAGTTTTAAGTTTGGATTTAAAGGGAGTTTGGGCAGTGCAGTACAATTTGAGGAAGTGCAGTCCATAACAGTGGGGCAACGACAGGATTTAGTCCTGGTACAGTGAGCAAAGGACCAGTCTCAGTTGAGCGGAGCTTATGAAAGGGAGTGTAGGCATGGAGGAGTTCAGAGATGTAGTATGATGAAGCCAGATTTGTTCAAGCCTTAAAAGTCGGCAGCAGGATCTTACAGTGTAGTGGTAAATGGGCTTGTAGATCAGCACAGCGGTGGCCTGTGTTTAGTACTTGTGTATTTTCTGCAGAATGTTTGCTCCGCCTTCCGCATCCCTCGCAACCCCCCTGGGCCCAGCGGTTGGGCTTGCGCTGGGCTCGGCTGTGCCCCCTCTTGCCTCTGCCCTCACACAGCAGCTCCAGGGGCTCTCCGCCTGCCTCCACACTCCCTCTCCTGCTCTGGCTTGTGACAGGCCTGGGGGTACAGTGAACAACACAGGCTTCGAAACAGGGGGTTCTTCACTTCTCATAAGATACTTTTGATTTTAAACAGGTTTGGGAAAGATTCTTCATTCTATAATGTTAGGTTTCTCTTCGAACCCCCTCCCCCGGTATTCTCTGGGAGGCTGGTGTCAATCTGCCCACAGTGAAGGTTCCTGCAAAGACACATTGCTGTCCAGTGAAGACACCAGGGACCCCAGGCTAACCCCCTGATGCTGTCATCACTAGTTTAAAATCTACTATCCTTCATTTATCGCAGCTGTTTCTCCAAAGGCAAGGGCTTATTTTTACTCTGTTATGGGCTGCGGTCATAGCTGTGGTCCAGGGGCAGCGAGATTTCAGGGACTGCTGAAGGTTCAGGCCTCGGGACTGAAGATGTAGCTGGTAATCTCACTCACAGCGCAACGTCTATGGCAGGGATATAAGGAATGTCATTACAGATGAAGATAAAATCCATATTTTAGCAGTACAAGAACTTGATGAGTGTAGATGATAAGAAAACTAATAATGATATGACTTCTCACTGAGAAACAACAGCTTTCTGTGTTTTCTATTATTTGATTATTGTTCTGAAGGATCTTAAAGTACTTCACACACAGGAGGGGGCTCACTTTGTCTTTTGAAGTCGTGCCCCACCTGGGAGACACACAGGGGCCCTTCTGCACCAG